GTTAGTCTACTGAGACCTGCCGGGCAACCACGTGCCTACCATTAATTTTCAATGGGTTGACCATTTCAGGTCAACGGGTTTTCTATTCACCACCAGTTGGCTTCAACAGGTCAGCCTATTCACACCAAGTGGACAACCACCAGTATACCATTTAGTATAAATGGGTTGACCATTTTAGGTCAATGGGGTTTCCTATTGACCACCAGTTAGCTTCAACAGGTCAGCCAATTCACACCAGGTGGACAACCACCTGCATACCATTTAGTATTAATGGGTTGACCATTTGAGGTCAATGGGGTTTCCAATTGACCACCAGTTAGCTTCAACAGGTCAGCAAATTCACACCAGGTGGACAACCACCTGCGTACCATTTAGTCTTAATGGGTTGACCATTTGAAATCAACGGGATATTTAATTGACCACCAGTTAGATTCAACGGGTTAGCCAATTCACACCAATTGGACAACCACCAGCGTACCATTTCGTTTTCATGGGCTGGCCATGTGAGGCCAAAGGGGCTACCAGTTTGTCACCAACCAATTTCAAATGGTGCGCACCATTGCAACTAACTGGCAATTGCTCAGCACCAGCCACACTTAACTGGTAGCCAATGGGGTCCCCTGTTGAACCAGTTGCATTGAAGTGGTGAGCCACTTGGATCCCCCTTTGGAATATAAGGGTTTACCCATTGATTCGAACGGGATAATGTTCAATGGGTGGCGAAAATCCTACTGGTCCAACACCCATTGATTTTAAATGGAAATTTTCCAGTTGGACCCATTGAATATTTTTGACTGGGATTTGTTGTTTTTTTTTGTGACCAGAGAGCGCAGATTCGAGGGGTACAAAGTGAATGTTCTTCGAAAAATAAACCAGTTGTTAGATTACGCCCGTTTGTCTTCCTTTCTGTGTCCCTGCGTGCTTGCGCGAAAATTTCAAGAAGAAAAAAGAACTAGATTACTTGAACTAACCGACCGATGATCGATGATTTTTTTTGTAAATTCACTGCTGCTTAGTTTTCACTTTTTTCTTTATCTTTATGTATTGATTGATTTTATCTTTGTGCATTGATTGATTTGATTGTGGTGTCTGTGTCAGGTATATATTCTTACTGCTTTGCAATTAAATTTCTGAGTTGGAAGTTAACACTTGTCCTCGTTGTTTCCTTAGACCGTTGTTACCTTTTAGCACTTCATGTCTTTAAGACATAAAAGTGAAAGGCCTTTTCTGTAAGCTAAATTTTTGCTATATCGACGGTGCGTAAACACATGTGTGTGTGTGTCACACACGTGTGTTTGTGACCACTTTTGAACAGTGATGTGTCATTTTTTTTTCACTTTAATCTCTACAATATTATGTTTACTCGCGTACACTGTTTGTAGTACGCATGTCGAAACGGCAGAGCGTCGCGCTCAGGGCTGCAGCTGAGCATATAGGCCACATCTAATCATGCCCGTACTCCCAATGACGCGCATTCCTTGCCTCTTCTTTGTTTGTCACTGCTGCTGCATCAAGTGTTTTGGACGTCAGGAGCGGTCAGAAGCGCTCTGGGTAGTACGTAGAACAGAACAGAGAATATTCTGCAAGATATGTCTGCGACAGGCTGTGGGAATAGCACTGCTAACAGAAAAGTTTTGCCTCATAGCTCAAATTATTCGGAAACTAACCCGGCCGATTCGCCGCTGTTTGATTTTCTGTGCTAGTTCAGACAGCGCTTCTCACAGCCAAAAAAGTTGCATCCGCATCCCAAAAAAAGGCTTTTCAGTGGGGGTTGCCCAAGCTTGCATGTGGCCTATATCAATATTCGTGTTGTCTGTAGATGTGAACCATGCAGTGCAGAGCCGGACACTCTGGCGTTCTAGACCAACGTGTTGCCCTCTGCACGAGCTGCAAGCAGTGCTGTAGATGTAGCTGAAAGCTGAAGTGCAATTTAAGCTGCTGTTATTCTCGGCCAGTTGTGCACTGCTCTTGCGTATAAAAAGGCTAGCAGTTACAGCAACTGAAAATGTGCAAGGGTAGCTTGGGCTTGGATATTTCTAACCAATCCTCAAACAGCATGAAGGACACGGACAAGAGAGGCACATAACTGTGTTTGTGGACTCTCTTGTCTCTGTCCTGCGTGCAGTGTCTGGATTTATTACGAAAGTTTACTCTATAACTTATTAAGCACTGAAATGGCCTTGCTGTTCAAATTGCACATTAATAGGATGAAAAGAAAGACATGAAGGTTAGCCAGTTCTCAGACCGGCTGGCTACTCTGTAATAATAGATTAAACACTATGGTAAAAGTGACTACTAATTCGTGCATAATATTGTATTGTGAACGTACAATGTAATCAAACAAGGCTGTATTCATGCACACATCAAACAATATGCGTGCTTTTCACCTTTTGGAATATGCATTTATATATATATATATATATATATATATATATATATATATATATATATATATATATATATGTCTGGTAACTATTACAACCATAGAACCTGATTTCTTCATCATTATACTCTGCTGGTGCAATTCATTGGTTTCTTAACAGCATGTTTAGAATGTTTAGACTAAATACCCCATATGTGAGGACACTCATTATTGGAACTGCTGTCGTTGCATTTGTAATGCTGTTGAGGTAATTTTTCAAAGTCCAGATTACACCCTGCAAATGTGCTTAATACACTGCTCGTTAAGCATCAAGTTTGTTAGCTGTGTCAACAGTGGTGTTCATACGCATGCATATATTTGCAGGCTACCAGTGCCCTGACTGACTGACTACTGCCATCACTATGACAGATCCCCCGAGACCTTTGCTGAATTTGATGCAATAAATTTGACTAAAGGCAATCATCTCGAGTTAACAGTCTCATTATTTTGTACCATATGGTGCAATTGCATGCGCGTCTGCCCACCTCAGTGGAACAGTGGCTAAGATGCTCAAATGCTGACCCAAAGGTCACGGGTTCAATGCCGGCTAGGCGGTCACATTTTGATGGAGGCGTAATTGTAGAGGTACGTGTACTGTGCAGTGTGAGTGCATGTTGAAGAACACCCCATGGTTAAAATTTCCAGAGCCCTCCACGTGTACTGTGCAGTGTGAATGCATGTTGAAGAACACCCCATGGTTAAAATTTCCAGAGCCCTCCACTACATTGTTTCTCATTCGTATTGTGGTTTTGGTACGTAAAACCCCAGATAGTATGCATATGTGCGTCGCTGCACCTAAAAATAAGTGTCATTTGATATATATCAATGTTATTGTAGAACTGCTGTGGACAATCTATGGATGTTGACTCTCGCCAAAATGGACCTCTAAATATTTCATTAATATTGCCAAATATTATATCAATATTGTGTGTGGAACTGATGTGGACATTATATGAAGGTCCACTCTGTTCAAAATGGACATCCTCTAGATATTATATAAATATTAAATTAACTTTTAGGAACATTCACTGAAGATAAGAATATCATATGGTTGATATTTATTTGATGTCTACTGGACATTACATGGTTGGCTGGGTAGCTTAGCATGAAAATTTATTAGAGAAGCATAGTATACCGCACTTTTATTAATGAATTTCGCGACTTGCTATAAAGGGTAGAAAATACTTTTCGGTGAATGCGCAATTTACAAACAAGCAGCCTATTTCGTTTATACACATAATGCCTGAAAATTGCTAGCAGCCTCAAATACTGCGGCCACGCCACACGTTTTTATGGCCGCGCGTTTAGAGATCGCAAAAAAAAAAAGCTGCAACTTAGACGTGAAGCGTTTACAGCACCGACAAAGTGATCCACAGACACATATACATATTTGTAAAATATGTTTAAAAATTTTCGACGAGAAAAGAACACGTGTCGTGATACTCGCATTGCATACACACGAGGACTTCGTAGGCTACCACTTGTCTCGCTTAATCTTCACGATTTATTGCAGCCTTTTTTTTGTGTTCTGCCAGTAAATGGTAGAGATTTCAACCATTTCTGGAGTTGTTCGTGCACATGGGCACGCAACTGAAAAAGAAAGTGACTGAGCGGCCACAGTTAGAGGTGTGCGCAGAAAGGTTGGCGCGTCGCCGCCGCCAATTTTAGTTACGCCGCCGCCGCCAAATAAATGGCGCGCCGCCGCCGCGTTCTCTAAGCGCCATTTAAATAGGATTTTTTTTTTCCAGCTTACCTACGTTTATGTTGCACTTTGTTACCAGTCTGGCCTTAATTCTGTCCACTTCGCAAACGCATCGAAATCGGTTCACCTGCCATTTCAAGTTAAAAGAGTGGCCTTAATTCTGTACACTTCTCAAATGCATGGAAATCGGTTCACCTGCCATTTAAAGTTAAGAGAGTGAACTATTAAAAAAAAAATCTTGACTGCTTTTAATAATGTTAGATGAGATTTAAACGTGAATTTTAAGATACTTTTGAGTTCACTTTACTTCAGCGAATCCCAGTCAGTGACAGCACCAATGGTGTTTGGCCAGGACTGTCGACATATTCTAGCTGACGACAATTTGTAATAAGTGAGGCGGGCTTTGAAAAATGATGAAAGGTGTGGAAAGTCACTACTGGAAGACTCATATCTATGACTGTGCAGGCGATTCGAAGAACAAAGGCAGATCAAATGCAAAAGGTGGGGGCCAGAACTGGGAACGGGCAAGGTAGTAGCACGATGTGTATCCAAGATGATGTTATAACTGAGGAAGGGCTAGCTGTTTAGGGCATATTTACAAAGAAAGGTAAAATGACAATTATTATACGAAATGTTCGTCACTCTGCCAAATTCACCCTGGGCAATTGTAAACATGCATAACCCCCCTAAAATGGACAGTTGAGACAGCACCATCAACCTGCAATGAGATGGCCAGGCACCAGGTTGAGCAGCATTTTGTGCAGAATGGGAAGCTGTCAGTGGGCAAAGCCTCATGGTACAGCATGCAGACCGCCTACACAAACCACTTTAGGCTATAAGAATCAAGTAGACGAAGGCATTGAGAAATCAGCAACATCACGAGCCGAATGAGCAGATTTATTGCAAGATTTTTCTCGGTTTCAACAAGCTCTCGGCACTCCACAAGAGATCGCCACACACAGATTTTATACAAGATACTCCACAGTCTCAGGCAGAGACAAGAAGCATATCACAGGTTCAATCCTACCCATTCCAGTGACCAAAGCAAAGCCACCAAAAAACACAGCCCCACTGCTGGAAGGAATTCTCTTCCTTTGTCTACAAATACAATGAAAAAATTAGAGGACACAATAATTCATTTCTAGGGAAGTAGAAGGATGCTAATTTACAAATGTTTACAGAAAAAATGTGTCTGGTGTGCACACAGACTTCCTGAAATTTCTACATAAAATTTTCACACTGCGTAATGCAAAATCTGCTGCAAGACCACTGTTCATGAAGCAGGAGGAGGACTTCATTGCTTTTCTGACAATGGACCTTCTCGAGAGGACATTTGAAGCATGGTTCGAGCAAAACTCAAGACTTCAGTAACAGTCACATCTGCCCCAAAAATAGTTCGTTGCCCACAAAAATTCATTATGAATGTATATTTGTCACACTGTATTGATGACAAAACTATTCTTTACTTTGTTATAACCAATAGTATAATGAATTATCTGCTATAACTATTTCTGTTCTAGCCTTGAGGAACACAAGTATGCTTGTTGAAACGTTGGTTCGACACAACCCCCCGAATTTTGGATTTTTTATCTGTTATAACAAAGTGATGAATAGCTGTCACATACATACCGAAGTATTTTCATGATAGATGTGAATGTTAAAATGAAGTGTGAGCAAACATTCCTCTAATGGTACCCCCTTCGAAGGTTGGCAATAGACTTGTCACATGTGTCACTGCAAGCATTTACTCTGGATCCTTGCAGTTCAAATGCACGCTGCGAAGCCCTGACTGGCAAGTACCACCGCTGTAATGCCACATGCCTTTGGCGTACTGAAATGCACGGCAGTATGAGCAATAAAACCAGCAGGCAATTAATCTCGGCTCAACAACTGGCACATCCAGCTGCCACGGATTAAAGCAAAGAACACCACAACCCATGCACACACACAAAATAAAAATAAAAAAAACGAGAAAAACTTGAGCACTGTTTACACCATACCTGATAAACTGAAAAAAAAAAGCACTAAAAATAATAACAAAAAATCACTTACACAAGGTAGTAAAAAAACAAAACAAAAAAAAAAACAAGCACATACATATACACCTGATAGAGCTGGCAGCCTCCTTAAAACAAGAAGCTGAAGCACAGCACTAGCCAAATCTACAGCACAGCAATTGTGAGGTGCACATTCACATACATACATGAACATGCATGGACACACATTAACTGTAAGTGTTGAACCCCTTGAGCACACAACAGGAGCCGAACAACCAGAGAGAGCATCTGAGACTGAGCCTTTTGCAAATACTAAAACCTCGATACAACAATTTTTTAGATATAACAAATTATCGGTTATAACGACTGGTAAAGGGAACTGGCCTCCCGCAAACACACTCGCACCTCGGTATAACGAATTATGCGTTATAACAAACCTTCAGATATAAAAAAATATTGGCTTTAGCGGAAAAATAAAAATCAGTCTTCTTATATAGTCTTACAGATATACATTTATAATGAATTTAAAGTTATTTTAGGGTCAGTGTGCCTTCATTATAATGAGGTTACAGTTTAAATGAAGAATGAAGAGCCACTGTGGTAAAGCAGGAAGAATTAAAGTGTGTGCCAGACTGAGAAGCACAACTGCACACCCCTTCATACCTCAGCAAATACCTTTCTATAACCAACACTAATAACAAGTACTTATACGAGAGCACTTAGTGGACCATACTGCTGTTAGATGCAAGGAAGGCCGGCATAGTCGATGCAGCACTGAAAGATGTTGCATAAAAATGACTGAAAGAGTGCCATTATAACTGAAAAAACAATTTGGGAAAAAAATACCAGCAAATTAGGCCAGGCATAGTAGACATGCGCAAAAGCGAGAAAAATCAAATGTCATACCACTGTCGCACGGGGCAACTTAAGTACACTTTGCCATTAGTGTCATTTGCATGCTGTGTCACTTAAAACGTTTAGTCACACTCCCTGAAAAGCCTTGGTAGCAGTGGCTCGAGAGTACATAAGGTATTTTCCGAGCTCGTGCCATTTTTAATATGTCATTCTCATTATTAGGAATAGTCTTATACCATGAGCAACTACTCTGCTGTTCTGCCTGTCAGGCAGCTTGCAGCCACAACTGCTGGAGACATGCTTAGCAGACACTGTGAAAAGGCCGCAGTCACCACACTTGTACATAAGGTTTGTTTTGTGGACTCCTAATAACATACACCTGCTGTTCTACTAAAGTATCCATTTATTTCCAAAGTACACTTCTGTTTCTCGTGTAGCAGCATGCCACTAAAGTGACATTTCGTTGGGGCACTTGCTCAAAATGACGATTAGCTGCCGCGATATCATCACTTACACCTTCCAAGCAGATACGCAGACTCTCCTGTGTGTTAACAAAATTGACGCATGATCAACGCGTGCGTGTCCCACTCTTTGAATGCGAAAAACTTCAATTACAGCACTTGTCCAGTGGTTCCTGGTTCAAGGCCTTTGACTTTGGGTGCTGCATCAAACATGCAAGTATTCCAACAAGCCCACCTCTACTAAGCAGGGTCCGCCGTGACGAAGCCGACAAACCCATTATTCAAGTGAGTTAGTGCTTAGCCAAAGCTACAGCCCGGCGTTTCCGTAGTGGCTATATCCACGAGATAGAAAGAATGGCAAGACTAAAAAACCACCCCTTTATTCAACATATGACTACCGGTGTATACCTGGAATGCCCATGTGACGTGCATAGCAAAGAAGCAGCACCGATAAGAGCACTGAGTTGGCTCACAAAGCCACATTCACTTTCGGTGAACAAACAAACGGCTCTTGTTGTGCACACACGGATCAACCTGCATCACCATGATGGCTGGACCTGCTATGGCACAACAACAGAGCCCAAAGGAAACACGCAGCGCAGCCCTGGGAATCCAAGCAATGAAACACCATTGCGAGAGGCCACACACAACACTCGATGAGTTGACAAAGAAAAGGCCACGACCTACCATCACATGAAGATGTGCTACTTGTGGAAACAATGGGTTTACCAAGAGCAGCCGTGTTTTTAAGAGCCGTGTCTGAAGCTGTGGTAGCCAAAGGCAGGCTAGTTGCTACGTAACTCAGAAATTGGGAAAGAAAAAGAGAAGAAACAGCACAGCAACAGGGCGAAGAAAGTTGACACAAGGACGGGCTCCGACTGCCAGCTGAAAGTTTTTTAGTGAAGAAACCAAGAATGTATAGATACGTAAAAGAATGAAAAATAGATTAGGTTAGAATTTTAATAGGATTATAGCGCGTATCTCCGATATCCATAGAGCTTAGTTGCACTATGATAGTTGCATATGATAGCGCATAGTCGGGTGACAATGCAGATCAATCGCTCAATTGTTTGGTGGAAGGCAGAGGCCTTGAATGTCTCTCGTGCAAACCTTCGTGTAAACATTCCATCACATAATTTCTTCAGAAAAGAAAATGGCTGTTTGACGTCACGCACGCCACTAAAATTCCAACCTCACCTTTTTTCATTCCTTCGTGTATCTATATATTCTACGTTTCCTCAACAGGTAGTCAGCGCATATTCTCATGTTACCTTCCTTTTTCGTTTCAACAACACAACGTTCCACTCACAGACAGTTAGATGGGCGTGCCCTCTTCTGTCGACCCGAATGTGTGAAAAGAATGCTGCTCCTAAGGTGGCCCTTGGTTCAATTATCACAGCTTCAAGGCTAACTTCGTGTGCCCCTGTGCTCTGTTGTGCCAAATGCACGGACCTGACAAGTAGACGCTGTGGTTGACGACAACCTAATGGAGACAGCATGGTGGCAGCAGACTCGGGACACTGATGAGGCAAAAATTTTGAGCCTTGTTGTTGCACAACAACCTCACGGCTGCCAGGCAGAGAAGAGTACAACGCTCAGTTCTTGTAAGTGCCGGTGGGCATCAGGATGTTGCCGGGTGTGACATAGTCTCCAATCATGAGGCTGTTATTTACAGGGAACTGGGATGTGCTGCTGCTGCTGCTGCTGAGGAGCACCTGTTGCTGCACAAAGGGACGAAAAAGGAAAAAGAAAAAACAGTTCAGTCCTTGATCGTGCTACAACACAGCAAAGTCCCTATGCTCGAGAAAAAAATTAATCTTCTGTTAGGAATACAGTGCAAGATATATACTGTTTAAGTGAGAACACTAGATGTGATCGGCCAAATAAAGTACAAACGCCTAACGTTCGTCAGTTCACTGATGGCAGCCAATACCTATAGATAGAATTACATAATGCAAAACAAAACTGTGTTCCCATGGCATCTAACGCTTTGCGGTTATGGCAGTTTTCTGGTTCAGCTAGCCCAGCTATGGCACACAAGCAACGAAAGCTAGAAAGGCATGGTCGAATACCAAAACAACAAAGTCCGCCACGACAAAATTTCTGCCACAACAAATAAGTTTCGATTCCCAATCAGCCGCCGCCCATAGAAAGCAACCCAAAAACTCTCTCGTCACAACGATGATGACGATGATGTTTGGTGCTTTGTGGCGCAAGGGCCATTTGATGACTAAAGAGCGTCAGTTCATGGGGCAAGAGATGTGAACAATGACTTTGAATAGCGGCTGTATAAGGTCCTTGAAATTCCTCGCCCTAAGGCGGGTAAAAACATAGAAGTTTCTTAATTTTCCTAATTTTCCTGTTCTTAACCTTGTAAGTATTACTTCTGTGTGACGTGATTTGATACTGGTGGCCAATGACCAAGTTGCGACTTGATGACATGCAATTCATTACCTGTGTGTGTGTCCCATGTGCTCTGCAAATAACCCCTGAGCTTTCGTTTTAGAAAAGCTTTCAAGTCGAGTGCTGGAACTGGTATCGATGTATTGCTAGCCGTTCTGTTGGCGGATCCAGCTAGCTGATTCGCCAGAACGTCGCCTTGTATTTCGCAGTGTCCTGGCACCCAGCAGACCACGACATGCTGCTTGGATGAGTAGACTGTGCATAAAAGCGAATAAAGCGAGACAAGGACAGGGTTTTTGTGCTTTTTAGGTGTTTTCAGAGCTTTTACTACGCTTAGGGAATCTGTATATATTATTGCCTTCTGTAGTTTTATTTGTTTAATGTGTTTAACAGCCGCAAGTATCACACGAGCTTCGCCAGTGAAAATGCTTGTATCAGAGAGCAAAACGCCGGCTTCCGAAAAGGATGAACCGACAGCTGCGTACGAGACAGAAGTGTTAGCTTTGAAGCATCCGTAAAGAACTCAGGACATGTGTATTTATGTTGTAGTTCAAGAAAGTATGTCTGGATATGTGCAATTGGTGCATGCTTAGGACATGTGTATTTATGTTGTAGTTCAAGAAAGTATGTCTGGATATGTGCAATTGGTGCATGCTTCGTAACCTTCAAGAAAGACACATCGCAATCTATCGCCTGCCACTGCCACGGTGGCAGGCATACTACGGGAGCCATCAAACAGTGTTCAAGTGGCACCCGGTTTTCTTCGCTAGGCCCCTCACACGGAGTGAGTAGGGCTGTCTCATAGAGGGCCGTTTTTCAAATACAGCAAGGCTTGACATGTCATTAATTGTGGAATGTGATGGGTGATCCTAGTCTGCGTTCACATTATTATAATATTTAAAAGAAATGTAACATCTCTGTAGGTTGAGCGACCATTAGTTCGATTCCGCGTACAGGCTAACTACGGGGCTAGTGCGAAAAGCACCCGTGGAGAGGCGGATGCCTAGATGATGAACAGGGTTAAGCATTTTAAGGGTAGTAGGTGTCGCAGACTGATATATTATTGCCCCATAGTCTAGGCGGCTACGTATGAGGCTTTTATACAAATTCATTAAGCACTTCTTGTCACTTCCCCCATGTAGTACATGACAATACCTTTAGGACAATTATGGCTTTTATACATTTGTTTTTTAAACCCTTGATGTGTGGTATGAAGCTTAGCTTTGTGTCCAATATTAGGCCTAAGAATTTATGTTCAGTATTAACAGCAAGACGCTGCCCATGCAGTTGAATATCAGGTTCGGAATGAAGGCCTCTCTTCCTGGAAAACAAGACACACATGCTTTTCTATGCATTCAGCCAGAAACCGTTTTTTTCTGTCCAATTGAAGACTATGTTCAGACAGAGCTGAACCTGCTCTGCTCTGCTTGTAATCTGGCCGGCTCACACATGGCCAGATTAAAAGACTTAAAACCGAATAGGACGTCATCGGCATATGTTGAGTAAAAGATATTTCGAGGGTAGGACAAGCGCAAAGAATTCATTTTGATAGTAAAAAGTGTGCAACTAAGTACACCACCTTGCGGCACACCTGTTTCTTGGACGGAAAATGTTTGGGAAAGCACACTGCCTACTCGAACGCAAAATGTCCGGTTTGACAAGTAACTTTCGATTATAATAAACATTCTGCCACGCACGCCAAGGTGGGACAGGTCTCTTAATATTCTAAAGCGCCATGTTGTATCATATGCTTTTTTGATATCGAGGAACACAGAGAGAAAATATTGTTTATGGACGAAAGCGTCTCTGATCTGTGCCTCGATACGAACAAGGTGGTCTGTGGTGGATCTACCCTCTCGTAACCCAAACTGAAATGGGCCGAGTAAATTGTTTGTTTCAAGAAAATGTACAAGTCGGCAGTTTATCATTTTTTCGAAGACTTTGCACAAGCAGCTTGTAAGTGCAATAGGCCTATAGCTTGAAGCTGAAGAAGGGTCCTTGCCCTCTTTCAAAATGGGAATAATTATAGCCTCTTTCCAGGAACTAGAGATAGCGCCAGAAAACCAGATAGCATTGTACAAACAGTTTTTTGTGTTTCAATTGGTAGGTTTTTTTAACATTTCGTACACCACACAGTCAGAACCTGGGGCAGAAGTACTGCAGGAGTTTAGAGATGTTTGGAGGTCTGCTAAACAAAGCTTGGTTATAAGCCTCGTATCTAGGGCATTTGTGTTCGAGTTTCTGCTTTTCTATTCTTGTTCTGTGTTTTTGGAAAGTGTCAGTATACTGTGACGAGCTGGACACCCGTTCGAAGTGTGCGCCGAGGAAGTCCGCCTGATCTTCCAAAGTCTCACCCTGTGTGTTTACAAGTGGAAGTGTGTGTACTTGTTTTCCTGCTACCCTACCAACCATGTTCCAGACTTTAGCCTCCTGTGTGTATGAATTGATCCTTGACAAAAACTTCTGCCAGCTTTTTCTTCTGGCCAGCCGACGCGTTCTTGTGCCTTGAGACTTCAATTTCTTGAAGGTGTCAAGATTTTCGGCTGTCGGTGAGTTCCGAAGCAACCTCCACGCTCTATTTTGCTGTTTGCGCGCATTTCGGCAATCAGAGTTCCGCCATGGCACACGCCATTTTCCAGGGTGTCCATTTGTTTGTAGAATGCATTTTGTTGCAGCATCAATCAAAAACGCTGTGAAGAAGTTAACAGCAACATCAATGCTCAAAGTACATATGTCACTCCAACCTATACGAGCGATGGTATAAAACTGTTCCCAGTCTGCTCTGTTTATGAGCCATTTGGGAACACGTGGTGGACACTCAGTTGCTGTGGTTGAGCTCAAAACTACGGGAAGTGGTCACTTCCGAACGGATTACTGATGACTTTGATTGATGATTTTTGGGGTTTAACGTCCCAAAACCACCATATGATTATGAGAGACGCCGTAGTGGAGGGCTCCGGAAATTTTGACCACCTGGGGTTCTTTAACGTGCACCCAAATCTGAGCACACGGGCCTACACCATTTCCGCCTCCATCGGAAATGCAGCCGCCGCAGCCGGGATTCGAACCCGCGACCTGCGGGTCAGCAGCCGAGCACCTTAGCCACTAGACCACCACGGCGGGGCTACTGATGACTTTCTACTGGAGTAGAGGCATAAGAGATGGAGATACTATGCTTAGGTCTATGAACGAGTAGGTATTATTAGCGCGATTATACAGTAAAAGCTCGTTATTTTGACACCCCTTAATTCAGAAATTCAGATAATTCGGACGGCTCTATTGGTCGTGGCCAAAGTGCATGTTAATCTATGGGACCAAACCTTCGTTATTTCGTCGGAATTCGGCTCCGCACCGCTTAAGGGGGGAGGCGGCTTTGAAAAAAAAAACTTTTTTATTTGTTGACCTACAGCAATGAAATTTGGCATGCATACTCATAAGTGTCTAGAATAGGGAAATATGCAGTTTCATCATGATAGCTGCAGTAGTTCTCAAGTTACATAATGCTACACGATCCAATTACATGGTCTGCTCGTGGAAAGCCTAGCGCTGCAACGAAACGTGCCAGGAAGCTGCGAATGGTGTTGATCTTTACTCAAAAGAAAGCTACAGGGTATGACACTCTCGGAATTTTTTAATAAGTTCTCTTTTTTTTCTTAGAGATCATCATGGCTACCGACACACATTGTCAGAAACAATGGCACGGACAAATCATCGTCTAGAAAAATAACAGGGCCACAAAACAGAAATTGAAGATTGCTGTACCCACAAGCAGTGTTCAGGGATTCAGGAAAAAAAAAAACAGAATCAAAATCGGTCCAGTCATTCTCGTGCTACTCTTTTCACGAGCAATGCACAATGTCCAAAACACACTTGTGAGAAAAAGCCTGTCGAGGTTTTCGATAGGCTTTTTTCAATGAACTTTTTTGCTTCTCGTTGGATATTGATGAAAATTGGCAAGGACACTAAAAATAACCTCACAGTGCTTCCATAAAAATTTTGAAGCGATACCACGAATACTTTACGAGAAACAAATTATTTCTTCATTGAACCATGTGGAGGGGCTGAGCATAATGTCAAAAAAAAAAAAAAGTATTGAGAAAGCTGCGTTTAAAGTTTCAACTTTTCTTTACGTCTCTAAGACACCTAAAAATTGTGATCTCAGGTTTGTCTTGTGATATCCGACTTCTTTTCATGATTTACTTCTTTTCATGAATTACAAAGAACAAGTATGGATTTGATTGATTGATTTGTGGGATTTAACGTCCCAAAACCACGATATGATTATGAGAGACGCCGTAGTGGAGGGCTCCGGAAATTT